CTCCCTTCTGCACCTGTGGTGCCTGGATGGTGGTATGGTGTGATGCCTGGGGTTCAGAGTGGGGCCCACCTGATTTATGGACCTGACCCATAAATGGGTACAAGTACCCATCCTCCCCTTTCCTGACAAAGAAGAAGGGTTTGTGACGATGCAGTGAGTTGATACAGGTAAACCTGGCACATGGTGTAGTGCTCAGCGAATGCTAGCCATATGCATGAAACATCTGTTGGAGGATATCTTTGCTGTGCATAATGTGGCAGAGATGGGAAGAAATCTAAAGACAGAATTCTGAGATGCCTGCACTGCACCCTAGAAAGCTGGGAAGCAGTCTTCCACCCCACTACTATTTTGGGTACAGGTCAGCTTCTTACTCTCTCCTTTCATGGAATGAAGGTGTGGGATGGGGATTAAGTTGAGGTGGAACCTTCTGGGCCTTGACATGCAGCACCCTGGAAAGCACTGGTGAAGTCAGAGAGGAAGCCTGTGGTGGGAGGGAGCGCCTCACATACAAAATGGTAGAGCCCACCCATCCAGAGTCGGGGTATTGTTCGATGTGAAAGGCTCAGAACTCCATCACCTTGCATACAACAGAGTTGACTTGGTGTGTGTTGTGCTCAGGCCTCATCATGGGTGGTCCATGATCAAATTCTTGGGGAGGATTTCATCCACTGTGATTCCTGCCAGGCACAGTGACTCACACCTATATAATCCCAGCAACTCAGGAGGCTGAGGCAGGAGGATGCCAAGTCAGGGGCCAGCCTCAGCAACTTAAGGAGCCCCATCTCAAAACAAAACAAAAAGACCTGAGATGCAGCTCAGTGGTAAAATGTCCCTGGGTTCAATCACCAGTACCCTATCTCCCCAAAAACAGAAACAAAGGGGTTCAGTTCTGTTGATCTTCCTGACTTTTAAAATGCTGATGTCTTGAGCCAATCTCCAGGCTTGCTGCTGCTTTTTCATAAATGAATTTGATCAGAAAGCATTTCATAGGACCCCTGCCTCCGCGCTCCCCCACCCCCCAAAAAAGCTCAGAACACTTGATTAACAGAACCTGAGTGGAACATTCTACATGTGATTAATACTTTTTAATACATGAGGGATTTGTGGTGGCCTGGGTCTCTAGCCATCTACAGTGGTGGTTTTCCCTTCACTGTGAAGGAAAAGCTGGGTGGGGATCAGAGCAGGTTATAGAAGCCTCACTGCCTTCTGTCCCTTTCTGATTGTCCCCAGATGTGGGCTCAGGTAGCACAAGTGCCACTTTCAAGCCTGGATAGAGCAGTGTGCTCCCGTGCTGAGTATGGCCTTTCCTCCTCAGAATCCCCACCCCCCACCCAAGCTGAGTGGAAATGTAGTGTGTGTGACTCTGATGCTTGGTGTTTGGGTTGCAGTGTGACTGAGGTTCGTGTCTGCGGTTTAGTTAGTATAGTGGTTGGGTTAGTCTTGAATGCCAGACCTACTGTCCACAAGGGGTCCTGTGGGCCAGGTGGGCAGCTGTCACCTACTGTTGATGTAGCCCATTGTTTCTCCTTCTGGAGGACCTCCTCTCGACTCACCAGGGTCCAGTCTTTGGGGAGGGTAGTATTCCATTCAGTCTGCAGCTGCCTGTCAAGTGCTGTTGTGTGAGGCTCTGTGTGTGGCACTGAAGCACAGAGGGGAAGAAAGCAGAGAGGCCCCTGCCCTAGTGCTTCCAGCCCAGGGGTAGATGCCAGCAAGCAGATCAGTCCAGCCAGGAGCTCAGGTGCAGACATACCCCTTCCTTTCTAATCACATTTCACCCTCAGCTTCCTGTTCTCCATTTTCCCTTGGTGCTGTGCACAGAATAAGGGCTTGATAAATATTTATGTGATTACATAGCTGCTAGTTTTGTGTGTGGAACTGAAGGGGATGATTTCTAGGTGGTGTGCGTTGGTTCATATGTTGGGAGAAAGAGTTCTTCAGAGGCTGTGGTCTCTCATCTTCCCTGGTAGGTAACTTGGAGTGACTTGTGGCCTGATACAAGCTAGGGATGTGCTCAGGAGGGCATCCAGGAGTTTCCTGACAGAGGCCAAAGTCTGTCCAGGAGACAGTGTTGGCTGCAGAAAAGAAGGTGAATTGTGTGTTCCCAGCAGAGAGATGAAACTATACAGAAGTTCAGAAGCACACCATAGAATGGGACATGTAGACTCTTCAGTGCCACAACCATAGTCACATGGAAGGTGGGGGCGGTGGCAGGGCCTGCCTGTCTGAAGGAGCTCAGACCCTTGTTAGTGGCAGGGCATTGCGGTTTTAAGTGTGTATTTTACACCAGTGATTCTGGCTGCTCTGTGGAGGCCGGAGATGGGTGAGAATAGAGGCAGAGAAAAAAAAGGAGGTCTGAGTGGTGCTTGAAATGGGTCACAGGAGCAGGACCAGGTGTCAATTAGGGAGAACCTGATTGAATCACCTGGCTGGCTGTTTTCAGAACTCTACCCTCACACCCTCTTCTGTAGCTTCCCACTCTCCGCAGCTGAGCATCCTGTGAGATGGAGTGCAGAGTATCCCTTGCCCATCTCACCCCCACTGACCCTGCCGCATGGTCCAGGTAGCTCTGAGCAGGGTCCTTGCACTGCAGCAGCTCAGGCCTCCTGTAGTTGCCCACATGGCTGCAGCTTCCTTTGTGCCTGCAGCTTCCTTTGTGCTGACACAGTCCTCATCACCAGTGCCCAAAGAATTATCTGTGCATTCCACCTCTTCCTTCCTAGCCTGGCACTGGTGTTTTTGCCTCGTGTTCAATTTCTGTGCCCTCCTTACTCGTGCATAGTCTTTGACCTCATAGTTTATATTGCAGAGGGGAGACAGACCATCGACCTTTTAAGTATATAATGGGTCAGGTGGCGAAACTTGCTACAAAAGAAAAAAAAATTTCAGCTTGGCTTTGAGACTTGCCCAGGGTTTCTTCCACAGGGTGCCCAAATGCACCAGGTGTTTAATTAAGTCTGCAATGGCCCTCTTAGACTGCAGTCTTGGTGACCAGGGGTAGAGGTCTAGCTCAAAGCCACTGCAGCAAAAGCCAACATTGATTGGCTTGACTGAAATGTCTGGGGAGAGGGTTAGCATTGGGAAGTTCCAAACACAGGGCTTCCACCAGTAATGCTGGGATTTAGCCTTCCCCCTACTCTGTCTCTGTTTCCCTGAAGGTTGGCCCTGTGTACCTGTGGCAACCCCAGGCTCACGTACTACCAGTTTAGCAGCCCCATGAGAAAAAGCACCTCTTCCTCAGTAGCTCAAGCAGATAGACCTGGCTGTATTCCACATGCCAATGTCCGCTGGGCCAGGGCATGCTGTGCTGTCTTTGTCAGGCCTAGAGCCTGGGCTGAAGTTGAGGTGGGGCAGGGGTTCTTCCCTAAAGAAAATGAGGTTGAGGGGATGCTAAGCTGGCTGAAATCCTGGTTCTTCCCTGTACATCTAGGAACCGAGGAGTCAAATGCAGAAGTGGAGGTGTAGTCCGGACCTCCTGCCCTGGTTCTGATCCTGTGGGGTCCAGGGGAAGTGCCAGAAGGTCTCCAGGCTCCCTGGCAGCAGACACAGTATGGATCAACTGCTGCATTGCCCGAGTCCTTCCAGCATTCATTTGGCATCTTTTATTGTCTGGCAGAGACACATTCATTTGATTGTTCATTCATTCGGGTTGTACAGGGAGATTTAGCTTAGGGAAATGTAAAAACCTGGTTGGATAGCCCTTTGCACCCCTGCCATCCACCAGCTTACCCCTTTTTCTCCTAAAACCTGCTCCCAGGCCTGTGTTTCCCCTCAGCAATTGCATTCACTGCCCACGTCACCCTTTCCAGACTTTCCTCTCAATCCCAACATGTTTCCCCAGACCCTTTACAACACCACCTTATGTCCAGAGCAGAGCCACACTACCCCCTCCCTACTCTCGTCACCCTAAAAGCTGCACCTCTGAGTTGCCACTGTCTCTAGTCAGCACTTTTTGAGACTCCTGCACAGCTCCCTCTTAGGGGCCTTTTCCCATCACTAGTTCGCCACGCAGAGCACCCTCAATATGGTAACACAGTGCCTGTGCACACTTCCAGGGTTGGCATCTGGCTCCCCACAGTGGGGTGCCAAGGAACAGGGCTATGCCCAAATTCTGCTTGCTATAGAGGCAACAGGGCACAGCATGCAGCACGTGGGCACCAGATTAACAGCTTCTCTTGCTGCACCCTGCAGGAGTATTGGGAGTGCATCCAGGCCCGAAGCCTGGGGTTCAAGGAAGTCCTCATGAGCATGTCCCAGAGTGGACAGCAGGGGCTTCCCAAGCTGCCACCTATGTCAGGGCCAAGTGGCAAAGGACTGCAGGCCTTGATAGGTGACAAGTGGTGGGAATCATAGGCTGCATTGCTCTTGTCCCCTCAGGAAGAGCATCCCACAGCATTTTCTCTTGCAGCAAAAGCTGTTTGGCAACCCCACAGAGCCTTCCTTTTTAATGAGTGCTCACATGGAAATCCCACCCAGTGTTGTGTTGGGCCATACAAGCTCTCCAAAGAGCAGCAGCCTTGCTCTAGAGGCTGCAGGTGGGTCTCCTTTTGGGGTTGCAGATTTAAAAGGTGGGGGGGGGCGCTAAATTGGCCTCCAGCCTTTGGAATTCAGAAGGTCCCCAATAAAGAGCTTGCACCCTGAGTGGCCTTCCTGCAAGGTGCCTTTGATGGGGCTAGAGAGTAGCAGTCCGGTGCCCCCCCACTGTCATGCTCATGCCTGTCCTCAGGGAGTCATGAAAGCATTTTGTTTATCACATAATATGCACATAGAAAGGGGCACAAATCATCTCATAAGGTTTGGATTTCACCAGCAGAACACACCCTCACACCCAAGTGTCCTGGTGAAGAAGCTATTCTAGAGCAGTTTGGTGTTAGTGGAGTTTCATATATATATATATGTATATACATGCATATATATTTTTAAACTTATTACAAAAAGGTGTAGCTTTGTTTACTGTGTGAATATAGTGTTGGGGGGAAAAAAACCAATCTTTCTCTTTGCAGAAAAGCCTGCCATTGCTCCGCCCGTCTTTGTGTTTCAGAAGGATAAAGGACAAAAGGTAAGGGGCCCGGTATGTTCTCTCTTCACACCATTTCTCTAATTTGATCTCTGCCAAAGTGCGTATTATCCAGGACACATGGCCACAGCTGCTGCTACCCACTGATAGAAAGACCTAAGCACAGCCTTTAAGCCTTTGCCTTGAGCTGAAAGGGTGGCTTTAAGTTACCAGTGGCCTTTGTAAAGCAGTGTTAGCAATGTCTGCATAATGCCTACTGGTTTGTTTTAGAAACATCACTGTACATTTGGAAAGCAGCAGCAGAGAAACATAGTGGGGGGCAGAAGAAACAGAGAGCCTGGGCTGAAGTTTGGGGTGGGGGGTAGGGTTTCTGTGGAAAGAAGGAAGGGGGGGGAGAAAAATGGGAAGAAGGAGGGAGGTGTAGAGATGGTAGCAGGTGACCAGGGGTGTTGCTCAGATAGAGCATGTGTGAGGACCTGAGTTCAATCCCCAGCATCATGGAAACAAAGAATTTAGAGGGGTTATGTAAACCCCAATCAACTTGACATGGATACATTTAGAATGATTGTGAGTTTGCTTGCATCATCTCTTGGTCCCAGTCTTTGTGGGCTTGTTTCCAATTTGGATTGTGTCTCTGGAATGCTAGAAGTACCTCTACTGATGTTAGGTCAGATGGGTGCTCGGAAGATCCGTCATAAAACCACAGTCACAGATGTTGCTGTGTACCTTGGAGCCATTAGTTCATGCCCTTCCTTGACAAATAATATGGAAGATTGGAGCTGTGTCAAAAGGCAGGCATGGTGATGCACACCTGTATTCCCAGCTGCTTGGGATGCTGAGGCAGGAGGATCACGAGTTCAAAGCCAGCCTCAGCATAAGTGAGGCGCTAAGCAACTCAGTGAGACCCTGTCTCTAAATAAAATACAAAATAAGACTGGGGATGTGGCTCAGTGGTCAAGTGCCCCTGAGTTCAATCCCTGTTACCTAAAAACACAAAAAAAGTCAGCTGGTGCTGTGTGGCAGTGATTTCCCCGGCTGGAGTGAGGATTCCCCTTAGTCACCTCAATTTCTTGTGGTCCCTCACCACTGAGGCCCCGTAACCTGACTGCAGTTGTGATTTAATGTCTTTACAGCATTTTATACCTACAGTGCTGCACTGAATTTGGCAAGATTTGAAGTATGTTTGCATCTTGTGGGAATGACAGTGTCTAAGAATCTCATTCACTTAATGCTCCAGTAGATTTCCAGGCCTTTTGCAGGGTAACTGGCTCCCAAGTTGGGAGCTGCTCTGGTCTGGTGATTTGGAGCTCTTGGCAACCCAGCTACTTCCCTTGGTCAGTATGTGGCCCAGTTTTCCTGGGTGATGTTCAAGTGCTCTGCCAGAAGGTGGGGGGTGGAGAGAGAGAGAGAGAGAGAGAGAGAGAGAGAGAGAGAGTGTGTGTGTGTGTGTGTGTGTGTGTAGTAGGGAGGAGGGAAGTGACTGTCCTATTCCGCCACCCACACACATACCTGTGTTTGCCTGGCTAATGTCTGTTAAGCTTGTAACGTTAGTCTCTTCTTGAATTAAACTTTCCCGTGGCTCGTGACTCACGTTACCAAAGAGTCTGAGTACAGGTTGGCTTTCGGGATCAGGCAGTGTTTGCAGAAGCTATGCTTCCCTCTCCCCAGACTCTGACATGTGCTTTGCTGGGCCAATGGATATGAAGGGGCTGAATTTTTCAGACACAGGATGTTCAATAAAGCCCTTAGGAACTGGATGTGTTGTGTTAGATCTCTATTTTAGATGTTCAGGTCATTTATTTCCAGTGTTCAGTAAAATCAGGACTTTTCTAGATTTGGGGTTTTATAATGATCTTGGACTGCATTCCGTTTAAAACGAGTCGGCACACTAAGGCCCTCTACCAGCACCTGTTTGTGAACAGTTTTACTGGAGCATGGCCATGCCATACCCTTTGCAGACCTCCATGGCTACGTAGCAGCAGGGTGTGGACAGACCGGGCTGCAGAGTCCTTCAGCATAGGCTTGTGGCCCAGTGGTGGTGTAGGTGCTTGGCGTATGCCATGCCCTGGGTTCCATCCCTAGCACCAAAAGAAATAAGAGATATTTAGTATCTTTATCTAGTATCTTTAGATATTTAGTGTCCTTTTGACCTCTGTAGAAGTTTGCCAACAAATAATAGGACTTAATAATGAAGACTTTAAGACAACCAGCTCATCTGAAACACTGAAATGTAATATTCATTCAGATGAATTTAAAATCATTAGTTCCTGTCTTGGTACTCTTTCTCAGCTAAGGGAGTTGAGCTGCTTTGTAATGTGAAGACTGATTTAAAAGGATGACCTTCCAGAGATCTGTGCAAATCACCTTAAAAGGTGGGCCTTGAACCTGAGCTGGAAGGTTAGCTAGGAAGGCTTTGAGTCACTTAAGAGATGTGTAAGTGCTCTTATCAAAATATTGACTCAGAGCCAATTCCAAATGGGCTTCTAAAAATAACTGCCCTCCAGCTCTTGGGAGTTCATTGCCCCACTTCTGTGATACTTCTGTGGCAAGATCACTGAAGGGCATGCAAGAAACATCTGTGTTGAAAGGAGAAGCCAGGTTCTGTTGGTAGGGTCCATAGCCCAGCGGCCGGGACCAGGTGGATGCAGTCTTCCACTCTGCTTTTCTCTGCAGCTTAAGGACTGTCAAGAGTTAGGCAGAACACGTGAGCCAGATACCTGACTTAGCTTCTCCTTGGCTTCCTAGTGCAAGGGACACCACAAGGCAGCTCTGCAAGGAGCAGCCACAGTTCTCTTTCATATCTGCCAAGAATGAGAATCTGAGCTGGCTTCTGGGTTCCTTCCTCTGGCATGACCAGCAGCTGTTCCCCTTCTTCCAGCTGAAGCCCAGTCAGAAGTCAGCCATTAGAACTGCTGGAGTTTTCTGAGCAGACTATTTTTCCCCCTTTTTGCTTCAACATTTTTTATTTTTAAATTTTTGAATTTCATTTGAAGTCTGAGTAAAGCTGACTGGCGCTGAATGCTGAGGCATCTGTCACCTCAATTTGCTGCTGGCATTTCTCATTGCTAAAGCTCTCAGCTGTAAATGGTGCCCATATGCCATTTCCCCCTAAAGTCTTCCACAAGTATCTAAGGAGTGGGGCCATTCTCCCCTGTGGACCTGAGACAATGTCACTCCCGAGATCATGGGTACAGTCATAGACTTCAAAATATGGTTCGTATTTTAAATTGCCCCTCAGATGTCTCTTGTTTTTTTTTTTTTTTTTCTAACTACTGCTTGATCCCAAAGATCAAGAAGTTCCATTGTCAACTGTGGAAGCAACTAACATATCTTTTAGTAAATGATCTCAAACTACCCAGGAGGTTTCACGGGAAAGAGCTTGTTCCTCCAGAGGAGGGTGTCCCTGTGCCCTGTGGTGTTGCTGAATCAGGAAAAAGAAGGATTTCAAAGGGAAAGAGAGAAGCTCTGCTACCAGCCCATTGCTTCCATTTTTGTTCAGTGGCAGAGCCCTTATGTGACCTGTGGGTCCAGTCCACGTGCTGCATTGCCTTTGCTGGGGGGTGCTTGGGGTGTGACTTAGCCTTGGGACAAGTGGCCTGGCCCTCTTACTTTGTGTTAAGTGGTGGGTGCTTGGATTGCAGGGCCAGACTTCAACAACTATGGCCAGTGGGTGGCCCCAGAGTTTTATTGGCTTTTTCCCTGTGCCTCTGCCACCAGGACAGCTCCCTTCAGGAAACATGGGGTTCGCAAGCGCTGGTGTTTTAGGATAAAACCAAAGCCTTTTTTTCTGAACTGTCTTGAATGGAGATGGGTCCTTCTTTTTGGCACAAAGAAATGTCCAAGCGCTTCTCTCAGTCACCCTCCCTCCAGAGCATTGGTTAACCTGCAGGGCTCTGCGGTCCCTCTAGCAGGAGGGTGCCCGTGTTGTGAGAACACAGGCAGTTGTGAGTGCTGCTTGGAAAGTGCAGTGACCCTGGAAGTGCTATCGCGGTGTGTTTGGACCTGCTTTGATGCTCACCCCATGCTCGTGTTTTGTTTTGTTTTTTGTCACACATTTGGCATATTTCAGGCTGGTGAAGTCTTGATGTCTGATGTTTCCACACATGCTGGGAACTATAATCCTACCTGGGCTCTTGAGTGCATACTGCCCTTGCCCAGGAAAAACACTAGGACCCAAGTTGAAGATGCTGGAATGAAGTTCCTATTTCTTCCAAAAAATTTCTGAATCTAAGAGAGGGAGTGATGTGACATTTCTCAGCCCTTTTAAGAATCTTTGGTAGACAGTGAAGTTTGGTATCATTTGGGTCTTTCTGCTTGCCCCTCACATCCTCCCCAAGGACATTAGAAGACTTAGATCCCAGAAGCAGGGGTTCAAGACATTCAAGTGATTCTGATTAGAGACAGCAGTTTCTCACAGAGCTCTGGGTTTAATTTTCCCTGGCAAGTTGTTAAATCTCTCTCCATAAAGTAGCAACAGATGTTGGTGGCTGGGACTGACCACCTTGCGCCTGGGAAGGCCTCTGTCATTGGATTTCCCTGAATAGAGACTGTCCCTTTGGTGACTCTTGAGACAGAAGAATACATTAATGTGTTGTCTGGCATTCCAAAGAACTTTGGGAAGTTCTTACTCCTTTATGTAGTTCATTTCCTCCTGTAGGATCACATGTTTAAATGTAGCACCAGGCGCAACATAGTGACCCACTAGTAATCCCAGTTACTTGGGAGGCTGAGGTAGGAGGATCACTTGAGCCCAGGAGTTTGAGGCCAGCCTCGGCCACAGAGTGAGACTTCATCTCAAAAAATAGAATTAAGTTAAAGAAAGAAAGAAGCACCCTTTCTGAGGAGGTCAGTCACTGCATGCCAAGAAAACACAGCCACGTCTGCAGGGAGACAGGGTGGCCCTCTAGTCATTAGAGAGTCCTCACAGAAGGTTTGGGGACTACAGCCCCATATGTCAGGACATCAGGTTTATAGCCCACTTCTCAGGAAGAGTTGTGGAATGTGGCCACAGCTCTTAGCCCGTGGAAGCCTGTTTGGAATACCAGGGTGCACCTCAGAGAATGCTGGGGTGGTACCTTGGGAACAGAGACCTCTGGAAGCAGCTTTCTCCAAACTTGGCTATTTTCCAAGTTTGTCCAGATAACTCTGCAGAGTCCTAGACCAAGGAGTTCTGTGGATGCGCCCTGCCCCCTCCTCCAGCTGAGCACCACCTACCTATCCGCTGATCCAAAAGCTGCCCTGCTGCAGTGCTTCTGCTGCGCACCTATGTTCCCTGAAGCAAGAGGCACTTCTTCCACCTCAGGTGTGAGCAGGAGGATCAGAAAGCTCCCAGAAGAATGGTGGTGAAGTCCAGAAGCCTGTGCCTTAGGCTCCCAGTTTCACATCTAACCATGTTTCCAGGCCCACCTCCCCACCTCCTTGTGCACAGAAGTGGTCTGGCCCCAGTGGTGTGGTCAGCATGGCTGAGCAGAAGTGGACCAGCCCCTGGGGGTTAAAGAGTCTTTAGCATAATCATCTCCTTTCTTTGTCACCAAGAGAATTGTTTCTTCCTCAAGGCCCATAAGCACAGTTAGCTGTACTAGCCACCCAAGTTTTGAAAATGAGGATCTGGATTTCCTGGACACCTCCTACCTCCTTGCCAGGTCACACAGTTCACTTTGCTCTGCCCCTGTTGAGAGGACCAGTTCCACTGAGCAAAGCAGTCCAGGAGCTTGTTTTTTTGGCCCCTCCTCCCTGAGGGTGGAGCCATCTCCAGCCCTACCACCCCTGCCCTCCCCTGCCCCTTGGTGCAGCCTTTATTTTATTGAAGGAAAATTGTCTTTTTTGCTCCCAGTCCTCTGCAGAGCAAAAAGACTTGTCGGATTCGGGAGAGGAGCCTCAGGGGGAGGCTGAGGCCCCCCACCATGGCACGGGTCACCCCGAGTCAGCTGGTGAGCATGCCCTAGAACCTCCCGCCCCTGCTAGCACTTCAGCCAGCACTCCTTCGCTTCCCGCTCCTGAAGCCCAGCTTCCTTTTCCACGAGAACTGGCAGGGGTAAGTCCAATCACCCGGCACCCCCGCTGCCCCAGGGGAGCCACCCAAACGAGCCCTTTCCCTGGGGTCCCTCTCATCCAGACCCTAGATCAGCATAAGCAGTCAATGATCACAGCTCCCTTCAGTCATCCAATAAAAGTTGGGAAGATTAACTCCTCTTTTATGGTTAGTCTTTTTTAGGTGGGGATGTCTGTACTCATAGTGAGACTAATCCTGCTTCCTGAAAGAGACACAGTGGTCAAAAGAGGAATTGAATAGTAGGGGAGAGCCTTCCAAATCAAATTCTACCCCTTCTCTTTCTCCTGTCTCTGAACTTGGGCATTTAAGTTCAATGACTTAGAACTCTGAGGAGCTCTGGCTTCCCTTGGAAGAAGAGTCATCTAGCCCCAGTCATGTTGCAAGACTGGTTCTGTTTGGACTGTGGCTAGACGGTGAACTGCTTGTCCACATTCAAAGCAGGAAGAAGAAAAGCCCCTCCTTTGTGCCCTTCCTCTTTGTGTTATGAAGGATTTTGAAGATAAAGGTGGAAACAATCAAACTCTTGTGAGCAAGAAGTATTATGGGTTTTTGAAGTTTAATACATTGGGAAAGGTAAACATCGTCCTATATTTGGGATTGAAAAGTCTGTCCTTCGGTTGTCTAATGATAGAAGACCCCTCCCCTGCTTTCATGACATAACAAGGGAACAGAGGCCCTGGCTTGCTCTAAACCCCAGGGTAGCAGAGTCCCAGATACTTCCCCCACCCCTGAGTGATTCCTTCCACCACCAGTTCCTGTTTTTAAGGAAACCATGAAGATTCAGTTACAGCCACCAAGCCCTAGGACATGCAGAAGGAAGTTGGAGCCCTCTTTTAACATTTTTGAGGAATTGGTGTGTAATAGAGTCTGTCATGTGCCACATACCAGGGTCTGTGGGGGAAGGGGTGCCCCTCAGGGTGCAGAAGTGGGCTCGGGTATTGAGACTTACTCAGAAGCTGCAAGAGCGTACCACAGTGCCCCAGGAGTGTGGCCCACACCAGAGTGCCCGAGGGCTGGCGGAGCAATCTTTCCTTTTTTCTTTTTTTTTTTTGGCAGAGCAGCTCCTGAAAATTTGGGATAGAGTGAGTCGGATAGTGGGAGTTCCTGGGCATGTGGTCTTCTTTGGTCCTCAAGAGCACAGCTTCTGAGAATAGACAGCACCAGAACTTGAGAAGCACAGCTTGCAGCGGACCCTGCAGCTGCTGAAGTGGCAGGTTTCAGAGTGAGAGTAGCTAATAGGGCAGTCACAAGCCTTTTGTGATGGCAGCTGCTTTTCAAGAGCACAGGGGCCCCTGGCTTTTGGTGGGACCTCACTTACCATGATGTGCCTCTGAGATCTGGCTGCCTTGGGCAGGGTCCTGTGTGAAACCTGGCTTCTTGATTCTTGTGGTCTTCAGGTTAGAGACTCTGATCCTGAGGAACACAAGCAGTTCCCAGACTGGCCAAGAAAACGTGAAGCATCATGGCCGGGAGCCTCAGGATGAGTTAAGCCATCGTGGACAGAGCCAGGGCTGCAGGGCTGAGGGCAGCAGGTCATAAATGAACTAACAGCCAGCCATGCAGCACACGTGCGTGCTGTAGTTGGTAACCTCAGGGATCTTGGACACAGCACTGTCCTAGCACTTGGTGACAGCTCTGAGCCAGTCAGGCTTGCTGCTTTGGGCTCTCCACAGAGAAATCAGGCTGGTTCCCAGCAGCTCCTCTTAATTGGCTTTCTCTACTAGTTGGGCTTGTTCAAGGAAAATGAAACTTTGTTGTAGGTCAGTCAGTCCCTAAATCAAGTCAGGTAGACCCTGACCCTGCTTCTTCTTGGGCTGAGGTTTTTCTCTAGTGATACAGACTGTTTCTTTTGTATCAGAACAAATTTGGATCTTGCTCTGCCCCACATTGGTGCTCAGGAAACCACCCACTGTTACCCAGCAGGTCTTGTTCATCACGTTTGGTCTGTTCTCTGTTCTATGACCCCTGGGCGTTCTTTATAATAAAGAGTGGCTTGCTTATAAAAGGCCCTTATCATCTTTCAGTCTCCTCAGAGCTCTGGCCATTGAGGACTCAGTACCAGGAAAAAGTCTCTCTATATTAAGAGTTTTGGCTTTCAGAAGATAGACTGAAGAAGACCAAACCTCAAGCAGACTAAATTCAGTGTCTCTGGAGAAGCAGGCAGCTTTCCGTGCTTACTCTGAGCTTGCTGGAATCAAGCTGGACTAACGCTCTGGGCCAGCCACTGCCAAGCTCCAAATGTGTTTTAGGCCCACAAGAAGTGGCAGGCAGTCAGGAGCGAGCCCTCTGGCTGGCAGCCTCCTCTCTCCTCCCAGCTCCCACAAAGGCATGACCTCATCCCTGTGGGGCCTCCAATTGTCACGTTCTTCGTGACTGAAACACTCAGGGTCCCTCCGGGGGAACTGGGCAGCATGAAATAACCACACAAGAGACAGATTTTTCTTTGGGTTCCTGTGACGGCTCCTCTGACCTTAAGGATCCACAGAAAGAGGGAGCCAGTGCTGAACCCTTTTATTGAGGAGAAGCCATTCAAATGAGGCCAGGGTCAGGATTCAGGGGGCTGAGTCTGGCTTCGTGATGTCTGCTGTCAGCAGGTTGACTGACATCTAGGAAGGCCACACCCAAGGGCAGAGCAAGAGAAGGGGACACCCAGAGTGTTTCCATGGAACATTCTGTCCCAAACAGGGCAAGGGGTAACATCACCAAGGAACAGGTGGGCGTAGCTCTGTCCATGGGAACACACCAACGTCTGAACACATTTCTGCTACTTCGAGGATCGGGGCAATGACCAGGTCACTATGAAAATGACCGACAGAGCCTCGGATGGTGGGAAGGAGTATGTGGATCGTTCAGACTGGCTGTCCACCTCATCCCCCCACCATCCAGACCTTCAAGGCGGTCTCTCTGCTTTCCTCAGGGTTTTTTCAGTGTCTGTCTCTTCAGTAAGCATCTTTGAGCTGGTGGCTTGTCACAGCTGTGAATAAACAGCCGTGAAGTAGCCGACATTCTGTTTCTCCTCCTGGGCACTCATCTTCCTGCAGCTACAAGAAGCCAGGCTTTCTAACTGGTCAGTGCAGATGGGAATCATCCTAGGCTCCATCAGGCCCAGTTGTAGGCGCTGTTATCAAGAGGATTACCTGGCTGGGCCTTGCTCTCTGGCCTTTTCCAGGGGGTTGGGGAGATAGTGCCTTTCATTCCTACTCACTGCCCACTTGTCCTCATCTGTGGGTCAGCTTCTGAAGGCAGCTCCAGCTCTGTCCCCTTCCCTGGGTCAGCCTGGCCCCTTTTTTCATTCTTGGGGCCACTCCAGGCAGCCTTACAGGAGCCGTGTATTTTGGAGGGACAGATTCTGAACAAATGTACTCATTACAGTGTTCACCATTTTATCCTCTATGCAAAAACAGATGCCCCTGAATCCACAGTCCCATTTTGGGTTAGGTATGACTGCCCCATCTATACTTGGTGACAGGGACCCATGCACCTTAGATAGCAGCAGGCTAGCAAGGCTGCTGGCCTGTCCTCAGTCCAGACAAATAAGAAGTCTTCTTTATGAGCCTGCTTCGTGCCTTCTCCTGACGCCTGGGAAATAAGTCCAAGGGTCGTCTTTGGCCATCTTTCTCTTCTGCTTTCTGGTGTGGTTGTCAGTGAGGAATGTTTTTATTGTAGTATCCCAAATGAGTGTTGTCGAGTTCCATGACCAAACACTCAAGGTCACTCCAGATGAACTGGGCTGCACGAAATAACCACACAGAGACAGAGAAATACCTTTTTCTTTGGGTTCTGTGACGACTCCTCCAACCTTAGGTGTAGAGGGAAAGAGAGAGCACGTGCTGAACCCTTTTATTGGGGAAAAGCCATTCAAATGAGGCAAGGGATAGGATTATAAGGGAACAGGTGAGTGTAGCTCAACCCCTCTGGGTGCCACCTACTCCCAGGGCCACACCTTATTATCCAAATGAGAGAAAAGACCGAGTCACCAGTCATGGCACTACCGCGCCAGACTGCAGTGATCTTTCAGATCCCTGTGGTGCATCAAGACTTAAAGGTGCGGGCATTTGGAGTGGCTCCCCACAGAGTGTTCGACCCAGTGTTTCTGGGGTATCATCCTGGAGTCCTAATCGCCAAAGGTGGAGTCAAATTAGGGAAGAAGTGGAGAAAGAAGTGAGATTCTTTCACCCTGCTTCTGTCCTCAGTACTCCTCAAAAAGTGCTCTGAAATTTCTCAAGTCTCCCCAGTGGCTCTTGGGCTGTTGGCTGAACAGTGCCCCCGAGGTTGCTTGGGTACCCCAGAGTCTAAGGGAGGTGGAAAGTGTGAAGCTGGTATAGGCCTTTTGTGGGGCTGGGTGATTGAAGAGGGTCCCGCATCCCAAACCTTTTCCTGCCTTGGGGAAGATGGCACAAGCCAGCGGACAGCAAGCCCAACCTTGTCCTGAGAGAGAAACCCTCCCATCTGCAGGGTGTGAAGCAAGGGGGCCCTGTAAGGGCGGGGGACAGGTGATGCCCCCCATGGGCAGCCATGGAGGGCTCCAGAAGAGCTGGCATGTCTAAAAGCAGACAGGATGCTGTCTTAGGCACCCTCTCCCGCATCCTTCCTCTAGTCCTAAAGAGGAGTCATGGCGGCATTTCCTCACTGGAGGTTCCAGCAGCACCTGGAAGGTTCCCCAGGAGGAAGACTCCTGCATCGTCCCTCCCAGGACCAAGAGGCCACCGCTTTCCTGTGAGCAGGTTCTTAGAAGAGACTCGGGGCATGGATTTGAGGGTCTCCTGAGGTCGGGCCAGGGAGCATCTGAGTTTTATCTGACGAGGCACCCTTTCTTCTCAGGGTCACCAAAGCAGGTACAGCAGAGGACATGGACCTCGTGTGGGCTGCAAATCCTCACCAAATGCACTTTGTGCCCAGGGCCCTGGCTGCTGCTCTGAGCTGTGTGGTCATGGGAGACAGTCACCAGACAGACTCTTCTGGGCAAAACAGGGCAGGGAGGGGCCAGAGGGACCACAGCTGGGCTGGAGAATGAGCACAGGTGTGCTCCAGCGGTGATTGTCACAGTAGTGGACCCTGAGGGAGAAGGTCCCCCATGCTGGGGGAGGAGCTTAGAAAACAGGAAGGAGCCAGGGTGGCAAGAGGGAGAAATAGTGCAGGATGAGAGGACTCTGTGCTGCAGGAGGCCACCAAGGGCTTTCAGGAGTCAGGACAGAAGCAGGCGGACGTGGCCAGAGTGTGCAGAGTGGGCCATCTGCAGGGGCAGGTGGGAGGCCAGCTGCTGGCTGCAAGTAGGAGCCATGGAGATGTGACCATGTGAATGTGCTCTCGTGCTCCAACTGACTAGATTTGGATGTGTGCTGGAGGGGAGGATGGCGTGCCAAGCAGCAGGCTGCCAGAGCTGTTCACAAGACCTCTGAGGCCAGGTGGGAGCCCCAGAGGCGTCAGCTCATGACCTGGCTACTCCACTCTGGAGGGAGATCCATAGCACCCATCACATTCTTGGAGACAGATCACTAAGATGTGTGGGTGTCATGGAAAGAGCCCCAAATACTCGAAGCAGAAACCAACAGAATGGAAAGGAGAAAGCACCCTGTTTTCAGTAGAACTACTGTAAAGATGATGGGAAGAGAAGGACCAAGCAGCCCTGGAAGCCAACCAGCCCTGGCAACAGGGCACTCATCCTCACCATGCACAGGGACCTTCTGCAGGATGGACAGACACCTCTCCAATTTAAAAGGATTAAAGTCATGCAAAGTACATTCTCCAGCCGCAGTGGAATGAAATTAGAAATTCTTCTTAACAGAAGGAAAACCAGGAAATTCACACAGACTCACTGAGCTCATGTGTGGTCACAGGTGGCCAGATGCAGAGGCCTTGGTGGCAGTGATTATGCAAATATCCTTATGGGAGCTGAAAGAGCAGGAAGACAGAAGCCCAGGTATCCTGGCCCAGACACCAGTACAGATAAGGCCAGGGCACAAGCCTTTGCTGTCTGTCCATGGCCTGCAGAGTGTCTAGGACAGCATCTCTTTGTTGGAACAAATCCCAGCAAGTTCCAAGGACCAGTTCTCTCCTAGAACTTGGGAGTCTACTGCATGGGCTCTAACACAGACAGATCACTGAGTCGAAATTGAAGCTACAGAGGGAAAGTGTAAGGAGCAACAAGACTGAGTCACCAAGGCTTTTATTCCTGTCTGAGGAAAGCAGGGCATACCTGGATGAGGGAGCAGGTTGTCTGCAGTGGTGTGAAGCTCTTAAGAGCCGACCATCTCCAGGCCAGAAGTTATTCAGGAAAGCGAAGGTTTCCCAGGACCAAGAAGGTGACCACAAAAGGTTTCGGTAAAGTCGACATGCTTGTTAAATTATAGGGCGAAAGAAGAGCTTTTTAGAACCATGGGTTGAGATGTAGGGGTGGGGATGTGCTGGGCCGGCCATTAGAAATACGTGGGAGGACAAGGGAAGGCAGGCAGTGCCACACTCAAGAATATCAGGCTATGGAAAGATGACTGGCCTCGCACAGGGACCTTCACCAAAGTGCTGGGAGGACGCAGGGCTCAGAGGGTGGGTAAGATGTGTCCTTGCCCTTTCTCCACTGCCAGGGTCAGGAAGCTGGTGTGAGGCCTGGCTAGGATGCCTGCTGGTTGCAGCGCCAGGGCAAGTAGTTGCTGTCTTTGTTCCTCTCGCCTTTGCTAGTAGGGTGAGTGGTGCCTGGGGCCTGGGTCCCCCTGATGTCCCTCTAGAGAGGGATGATCCCAAGAGAGTAGGCCTGGTGGCAAGCCAGTGGCACAGTCTGTACAATCAAACACTACTCAGCCTCTGGCCTCACAGCACTACAGGAATGCATCTTAAACCCTTTCACAGGTCCTCTAAGTTACCTCACCTTGTGGCTGGACCCAGGATTTAGTTCACAAGACCTGGTTCTGCCAGTCAGCCTGTCCCCTGAACTTGGAAGCCCTGTGCCTATGCAACCCAGGGGTCTAGCATTAACCAGCAGGGGCCAGCTTTGAGTTCAGGCACACAGTGAGCAGTTGTAATCACCCCAGGAGCTAAGCTTCCTGTCTGTCTTCTGGGCTCCACCTGCCTCATCTCTGAAGGCCCAGAGCCCTCCCTGCCAGGAAGACATTAGCATCCCCAGTGTCAGAGAGGAAACCAAGACACCCCCCCACCCCCGCATTCAGCCCCATAGAAAATAAAATCAGCAAAGCCAGGATCCCTTCTGCATGCCTTCGGGAGGGGGGCGGCATGGGTACGACCTGGAGCCCTGCTCTCGCATCCCAGCACTGCTCAGTGCAGCCTCAGAGCTGGCATACTGGACACAAGGACCTCATTTCATTTGGGGCACTGATACTTTCACAGTTTCCCCATCACTGAGAAAACCCACCACAGCCGGGCCCGGTGGCACAGACCTGTAATACCAGCTACTTCGGAGGCTGAGGCAGGAGGATCACAAATTTAAGGCCAACCTCTGCAAGTTAGTGAGACCCTATCTCAAAATTAAAAGGCCTGGGGACATGGTTCAATGGTAGAGCAATCCTGGGTTCAATCCCCAGAGACACCAAATAAATAAATAAAAGAGGGGCTTGGGATTGTGGCTCAGTGGTAGAGTGCTTGCCTAGCATATGTGAGGCACTGGGCTCAATTCTCAGCATCATATACAAATAAATAATTTTAACAACTAATAAAAATATTTTTAAAATAATAGTAAAAATAAGAGACTCCATACGTGGTATTAAGAGGATTTTATTTCCCCAGCATTTGGATGGCAGTAACCTCTAATCCTCTCAGTTGCCCAGGTACACACACGGGGTTAGTGACAACTTTCCCTCACCTTACACAGTCCCCTAGGACCAGTTCCACAGAGCTCTCGTGACAGACCTCAAGCAGCTTGCTCTCCTGACACAAACCTGAGCTGCAAAGGAGGAATTCCAGATTGCGGTCCTTTTCTGACTATTGTAAGTTAGCTGTGTGACTTTGAAGAAACCCCTACCCTCTCTGGGTTTTGGCTGCTGCAGACTCCGGCCCACAGCCTGTTTTTGTACAGCTGGGGAGCTGAGACATTGTTTACATTTTTAAAGATTTATAAGGGAAAAGCAAAGAATGTGGCAGAGGCCAAATGTGGCCTGCCAAGCCAAAGCACTGACGGGCCCTTTATGGAAAAAAAGTGCCAGCACTTCTCCCTGCGGGAGGATCTCTCCTGGTCCCTGTCACCTTCAGTTTTATTTATTCCAGTTACTTCTTTCACACGCTGCTCTGCAATTTGCAGAGAACTTTCACATGCATCATCTCATTTACTCCCTAACAGCTCCTTGAGGCAGATAGTCCTCCTGTGGTCAAACTTGACTCCTGAAGAGATTTTTTCAAAAATAGGAAATTGGTTCTTCTCACTCTTAAATGAAATGGTATTCCTTCACTCCTCAGTGCCTGCTGAGGTCTGGAGAACAATACACCCCTAAGAAGGGGCTTATGTGAGGGATTGTGTATGGGGTTGGGGGCACTCATTCTAAATCTTAACTGCTACTTGTTTATATTCTGGAATTAAAAATTGTAAAAGGAGGCAATTTTTGCGCCCCCTTCTCTTGGCTTATGGTGGTTCTGTGGTCCATAAAGTTGTTGTACAGGGTTAGATGGTTCTGTCCCGAACGCTTCGCAGTGGACTTTGACCCCAAGCATCAAGCCTTCACCCTCTCTGGCAGTAATAGCCCAGCCTGAAACAGGAGGCTGTTCCTGGGCAAGGAGTGGACACCAAGTGGATCCGATGTTAAGTGGCCATTTCAACAACCCTGCTGCCCTTGCGGTGGAGAGGGTCGCTTGTCAGCTCTTGGCAGGATGAATCATGGCCAGGTGAAGTTGTGCTGTGCTTGAGTCTGGGGGTGGCATGCCAGTCAGCTGTGACCTGTGGAGAAGCGGAGAACCTAGTCCCATGCTGGGAGTCTTTGAGCTATGAAGAGGATTCTAGGTTTGGGAAGCCACCGCAAAAAGCAGTCAGAAGTTGCCTCTGAGTGGGCTGAAGTTCTGTGAAGGCAGCAGAGACAGCACCAGGAGTTGGCCCCAGTTGTGCATTGAGCACCACTGGCTCCAGAGCTGGGGCTTGGGTCCTGGGACGCCCACCACTCTCTCACCAGCCTGCCATGTGCTCTTGTTTCAGAGGTCAGCTGGAGGCTCCAGTCCTGAAGCAGGAGAAGGTAAGGAAGTCTCCAAAGCGAATGGCCATCTTTGGTGGTGAAGGCAGAGATAGCCTGATGTTCATCCTCTTCCTCATTATTTTCTGTAGATTCTGACCGAGAAGATGGAAACTACTGCCCTCCTGTCAAGCGAGAAAGAACGTCCTCTTTAACCCAGTTCCCACCTTCACAGTCAGGTAATGATAAGAGCATTTATCTTTTTGTCATTTATTGTTCCCTTCTGACACCTCACATCCACCATCTGACCCCTGCCCAGATCAGTTAGGATCAACCTGAGATGTGGCCTCTCAGGAGTGAACTCAGAAGTTGCCCGACTGGAGCACCACATGTCCCCCATGTGCAGTCAGTGACACTTAGCAGCATGGTGAGACTTAGCAGACAGAGGATGACAGTAAAGAAATTGTGCCTCTGAAGTAGGAGACAAGGGCCGAGCATCGAGAGCCCTTTTGGGAGAGGCTCTGACCATTCATAATCCTTCCTGAGACTGTTGTGACACTGTGCACTGACAGTGGAGCAGCCCAGGGGAGGAGACTTGGTGAGGTTTGGAGGAAGGGCCAGAGCATTAGTTTTATGCTGCCCTCCAGTTCCACTTTGCTGCAGCCCGTCTCAGTGCACTCAAGCTGTTGCTCGGGGAGGTCCACTTCATTTGTGGACCCCGTGGACCGGCCCACACCCCAAGAAGCAATTGCTGCTGTAAAGAAAAGTCTTAAACTATACCCAGGGCATACCCAGGGCATCCGTGCAGCGTGGAGGCAACAGCCCCTTAGACACACAGGCAGTCTGGCAGAGGCAGGTTTCTAGGACAGAGTAGTTGGGACTACTCAGGAAGCTTAGACAACCTGGTCCTCGCCTCCAGAATGCGGCTGCCCTGCAGGGTCAAGGGTAACCGCTGGCCCTGGGCTATTCCCCGTAGTGACTTGGTCCACACTGGTATTGTTTTGTGATCTGTGTGCATCACCAGTTTGGAGGCACGTGTGTGTGTAGAGATGAGTTCTGGTTGCACAGAGTAAAATGCATTCTTGGGAAGTTCACAGAAAACGTTTTGCAGTTGTGAACTTGGTGGCCATGGCTATCACTGCAAGGGAAAGATCACTCAGAACGTGGCTTTGTTCACACAGAGATGCACACGTTGCAGGAGCACAGGGCAGAGGCAGCGTCCAGCAGTGCTGTCACGCCTCCTGCCCTTAATGTCTATTTTGGATATTGCCACATCCCTTATCAGCTACATGAGGCCCCCGAGTGGACACGCTGTTACTTGTCCCCAGATATTAAGGAGCCGCCTAGTTGGTTTGCATCCTTGTTTAAAGTTTTCTGCACACCTGGACAGGTGCTCCTGTAGGAGGAGGCAGCTTCCCTTCCTACTCAGTCACCTCAGTGTCGGGGCAGAAGTGGAGCTGGAGATTGGTGCATTAGTTTTACACTGCCCTCCAGTTCCACTTTGCTGCAGCCCGTCTCGGTGCACTCAAGCTGTTGCTCAGGGAGGTCCACTTCATTTGTGGACCCCGTGGGCTGGCCCACACCCCAAGAAGCAATTGCTGCTGTAAAGAAAAATCTTAAACCATCAGGGTAGGGCACACGCCTTTGGGCACACGCCTTGCTGCTGAGGAGAAATGGGCTGAGGCAGCCTTCAGTGAGGCCCTATGTGCCAGCTGGCTGCCCCTGCCAGGGCCCAGGGTGCCACGGTAGGGCTGGGAGTATGAGCTAAGATGGGCAGTCAGCTGTCAGACCACTTGAGGCTGTAAGGACAGGCTCCACTCTCATTGAGAGTTTAAATGCTTGTCTTCGTGCTCCTGCACGCAAGAGAATCCCCCCTTGTGTGCCCCGCCTACTCATGCTCTTTTCCCTCTTGTTCCCTCCCCCGCCTGCATCTCCATGCCGACAGTGTCAAAACACAATGTTTTTATGCCATCAACCTTCTGCGAGTCCTCTGCAGGCAATTCTGACTCAGACCCAGGTGAGACCTCATGTCCCTTTGCCCGTCCACCAGTCCCTGGGGATTTTCCTGAGATACACACAATAGTGAGATTCTCAGTAACTTAGCAAAACTCTGTCTCAAAATAAAAAACGCCCTGGAAAACAAACAAACAAAAAATGCCCTGGGTTCAATCCCCAGTACTGTGTGAGGGAGAGGGAGGGAGAGGGGAGACAGAGAGAGAGATTTATTTTCAAATTTTCACACAATATATCCATATTGTAAAAAAAAAAAAAAAAACAAGGGGAAGAAAAATTCCCTTGCCCCCTCTCTACTCTCCTACCCCAAAATAGCTACTATGAAGCACATGTGATTTTTTTTTTTCCAGATCCATTTCTGTGTATTAAATTTTCACATTAATATTGCCCAGGTCTGTTCAGATAAGTATGTATCATCGCAACTTTAAAGCTGAGGAAAACAATGTGATCCCTTCTGCAGAGTACAAGAGCCTTCCTTTTTTGGTCTTTTGCTAGAGAACCAACTCCAGAGTTTCCTGAAAATTTCTCCCACATGGCTGGAATTCCCCATAAAATATTTAGTGAGCAAGTTTAACAACCCACGTTCTGTAACCCAACCTGCCTTATATAAATCCATTGCCAACTTCAGAAGCGTTGTGAGATAAGTCCCATGCTGGCAAGGAAAGAGGTGACGTAAGTTTTTATAACTGGGTGGCATAATTTGAAACAGTGGAATTCATTTTGACTCTAGAAGTTAACTGTTTCAACTGACCTCCTGACCTCATCTCAAGGAGGAGCTTGGTTCTTCAAGGTCCTCAGAGCCAGCCGGTAGGTTGTACCTGGGTGTCACTTGGGCAGGCAGCATTCTGAACCATGGAGGCAAAGTCCGCCAGTCCAGCCCCTGGTTGTGGTCTCCATTACCCATCATGGGAGTGCTGTGAGCACAGGTACGAGTTGTTCTTCAGATGCACCTCTGAGTCTCCCCTCTCCTCTTTGTCCACTAGTATTAGGAGCAGGTGGCCCAGGAAGCCAAGATGGCTGAGGTCCATTCCACAGCTTAGACAAAGCCTTGATTTAAAGTCCCTGATACCCTGTGGGAGGCGTGTCAGGGCAGCTACACAGTGAACTTCACGTCTTTTTTTTAACTTTAATTTTGAAAACCTTCAGTAGAGCGTTTCCACAATACTGTCACCTGGAGACTGCCCTTTCACTTCCTTCATTTGTCTACTGCGTCTTTACGGTAGAGGGATCATGTCCTGTGTATCTCACTTTCCATCTGCTAAACCAGAGTGTCACATTTCCATCTGTGAAGGTTGTAGGCCATGGGTCTTGTGAAAGTCCTTGGGTTTGGTGAAGAGACCCAGGGAGTGTCTTGGGTGGGAACCCCCAGGGGGACACCTGTTCTTGGTGCACACCGTATTGGCTTTGTCCTCTTGCTAGCAGGGTTCCCCTTGTTGGCTCAAAGAGGTGAAATCATCCAGTTGTACCATTTGCTTTGAACATAGTTCACCAGTTGCACCAATCACGTGAAGTCATTTCCCCCACCCCAATCAGGCAAATTCCTGTGTTGCTGGGTCAAGTGCCCTTTGTTCTGTTTTCACATTTTTTAATTGGTGCACTGTAGTTCATAATGTCCTTACGTATTTGTACCTTTTCACAACATAACAACATAATTTGGTCAGCACTTCTCCCCTTTCCTCGGGTTCCCTTTGTTCTTTTGAACACTTTTTTTGCTTTCTGTCCCAACAAGAGACTCCATGTTTGTCATCTTTCCCTGTTCTGGTCCTGGACTCTTCCTCATTTCTCAAAGGGACCCTGTCCTTTTGTAGTAGAGAATGGCCTTTTGAACCAAGGTCTGGGTTCTGAGCCTCTTGTAGGCAGACCTGGGAACGTGCACAGCTCTCCACCTGCGTGATTGCTTCATCTCTTGCCTGTTTGCATAGCCCAGGGCCAGAAGGGGTCTTCATTCAGTATGGCACAGTGCATGTTCCAACCTCTCCTCTGCAAGGAGGAAACCTGGCTCTGCCTCTTCTCAGCTCGTCCCTCCCCTTAGCAGCCTAGCCCACTCCTGCCCTGCCCTGCCCTGTCCCTCGCAGACCAGCCCAGCCCAGCCCATCCTTGCTCAGTGCACACTTCTATCAGGCCACCTGCTCTGGGATCCTCTCCTCCATCTGGTGCAGGCCAGGTTTAGTTCCAGGGCATCTTCCTGACTAAACCAGGAGTTCCATCGGGGTGGCGTTGTTTCCTTCAGACTTCACTTGGGGTCCCTGGGAGGCGGGCAGAAAGCACTCAGATAGCAGCCTGCTTGCTCACCGGGGCTGCCCCTGGGACTCTGTTGTTCCACTGGGCCCATGGGAAGCAATGCGTGTTCCCAGCAGGACCTGGGATGTGTGGCGGACATTGGGGTCAGCCCACAAGGCAGAAGCTTTGTGTTGCAGACAAAGTGCATTTCTAAAAGAAGTGTTTCTTGGAACAGGTCCTACAACAGGGCCTCCAGAGCTTGGCCACCCCACAAGCACACTTCCCTGCTACCTTGTGCCCCCTCTGTCCTCTGTGTGCCCAGTTGCCATTAGAAGCGTCCCACCCCTACGCAGGCGTACTTTTCATATTTGTCTTGTGCTTGGAAAGGAAAAGACAAGACATCTGTCCATTCACTGCAGCACCCAGCATGGATTCCCTATGTGTCTGTAGGGTGGGCCAGGTTTGGGGTAGGCCATTCAGTGGCCATGATGTCCCAGGCCTTCTGCCCCTGCCAGCCTGGCCTGGCATAGGCTCTACCCAGCCAGGTGCTGAGGAGCATTCAATAGCCAAAACATAAATGTTGTAAACTAGCTCTCAGGGCTTCTGAAAAATTATTTAAATTGTGCATTTGACCTCAACTTGAAAAATGTGACTAAATAGCTAGTCATCAGCTAATAACTCAGCATTTGCCTTCTGGAATGGACCACCTGGCGGGCCTCTTCCCTGGTGCTTTGGCACCTCCTCGGGGATTGTATGGCCACTCTGTCACACCAGAGACATCAGCCTCACAGCACTGGGCTCAGCAGCACCTCATCAGTGGGCCACAGCCTTCCTGCTTGTTCTGAATTCTGACTTGATCTTATTTCTGAGAGTTTGATCTGATGAGATTCTTAGGATTTTGTTGTTGTTTTCTTGTACAGTTGAATGGCTCTTAATGAACCCACCAAGTTATGCTGCTAACATCATCATTAATTTTATTTTATTTTATTTTTATTTTTTTTAGAGAGAGAGAGAGAGAGTGAGGGAGAGAGAGAGAATTTTTTAATATTTATTTCTTAGTTCTCGGCGGACACAACATTTTTGTTGGTATGTGGTGCTGAGGATCGAACCCGGGCCGCACGCATGCCAGATGAGCGCGCTACCGCCTGAGCCACATTCCCAGCCCCATCATCATTAATTTTAGAACCTTCCCACTACCCCAAAAAGAAGCCCTCCTGGTCACCCCATCCTCTCCCAGCCCCCAGAAACCATGAATCCATTTCACTTCCTGTCTCTGTGGATTTACCCCTTCTGTACATACACACACACACACATAAACACATTATAAATATATATATATATTATATGTTAATGGGTCTTTATTTTGTTCATTTATTTATATGCAGCACTGAGAATCGAACACAGTGCTTCACACATGAGCCACAACCCGACTCCTGAACATTTCTTATCAATGAAGTCATATACTATGTGGCCTCTTGGATTCTCTTTCCCTTTATATTATTAGTCTTTAATTCTTCCAACAAAATTTGCTTCTGTTACATTTATTCCCAAGTATTTTATTTCTCTTGGTGCTGTTGAAAATGGAATTTTTTTTCTTAATTTCATTTTCAGAGTATTCACCTATTCACCCTAGTATATAGAAACACAATTGATTTTTATATGTTGGTCTCATGCCCTGCACCCTGGCCTGGGCTTACCCTTAGCATAAAAGCAAGGCTGCCTCTAGACCCTTGCTCTCTCCAGAAGACCCAGGCCTTTGTGATCATCCTTCCTATTATAGATCAGACTAGACTGCCCTCCCCACCTTCCGTGGGCAAGGTCACTGAGACCTGCCAGTCAAGGGATCTGTGGACAACAGACAGTGCCAAAACCAGGCTTTCTAGCCCTCCCAGGAACCCTGGGCACTTGCTGTTCTCGCAGGTGGCCAGGGGTGCTCTTGTCCAGCACCAAGGCAAAGCTCCAGGGGCATATCTGGGGGTGGAGCAAACCCACCATCTGCCACTTTGGTCTTTTCTTGACCTTGGACACATTCTCTGATGGACAAGTCTTCTAGGAAAAAGGAGACCAATCCTGTTGTCCTCGAGTGTAAACCCTAAACTGTCTGCCTCGAATCCCGCTCTAGAGGCAGGGCTCTGATCTTGGGGGACTTCATCACCTCCGCTGATAACCTTCATCCTCCTGTCCCCTGTTGTCAGCACTTTGCCCTAGAGCCAGTGCTTCTTACAACCTGGGCTGCACAGCTGCCTGCTGGCTGGCCCTAGCTTCTGCCTTTCTGTTAATTTGGAAACGTTTCCCAAGTTCCTTAGGCCCATGGTCACTGAGGCTAGACCTGAAGCTTTTCTTCTGTCCTGTGCCCTCTGGGCTTGGCTGCTGCTCTGCCCCAGGCAGGTCTGCTTTTCATGTTTTGTCTTGTGCTTATAGAGGAAAAGAGCAGCGGGTTCCGGCTGAAGCCACCGACACTGATCCATGGCCAGGCGCCCAGTGCAGGTAGGTGGCCCACATCCAGAAAGGTGATGGGAAGGGCTTCCTCAGATCTCTCCAGGCTCCTTCACAGCCTGCTCTCTGGGTGTGACCTGACCTGTGAGCTATGGAAAGCTGCTTACGAGGACCTCTCTGAGCAGGGAGCTGCTGGGGCTCTCTGCACTCAGAGCAGGAGAGGCGGCGTGGGCTGTGCTCCGCTGCAGCAGTGGTTCCAGAGTGGCCCAGTGTGCCAGGGTTCACCTGATGACCAGAGCGCCTGGCTCCCCTGCACCCTGCTCATGAGCAGGGCCCAGCAAGGGAAGGACTTAGATGGAAGCCTGCAAGGACAGGACACCTCCTCTCAGGGTCCTTGCCCAGCCTGTATTTGGCAGAGGGATCTTCTCCATGTGGTTTTTAAAGAGTAGGTACAGAAGATGCCTTCATAGGATCCCAGAGTTCAAAATCTGGGGAATTGCTGTGAATGCCATGCCCTCCCCTCCTCCTCACCATCTGCTCTTCACGTTTTCGGGGGGAAGGTACTGGGGATTGAACCCTGGAGCCCCAGCCCTTTTTATTTCTTATTATGAGACAGGGTCTTGCTAAGTTGCCGAGGCTAACCTTGAACTTTCGATCCTCCTGCGTTGGCCTCCCGAGCTGCTGGGATTACAGGCGTGCACATGGTTTCTCTTCACTCTTGAGTCCAGTATTGTCCTTGATGAGTTTACCAGCTGGGTTAATTCACAGTCATGATTGGTGATGTGGGAATTTCATAAAGAGCTAGAATCTGTGTGTCTAGTTGTAAAGAAAAGGTTTTCTAAAAGCTGCTTCCTTGCCTAATCCAGCCAGCAAGGGACAAGGGGGTTAGTTTTTTCCGAAGTGCCTGGGGGACGGGAGTGTGGGGAGGGGGTGCTGCATTTCTGTTGGGCATCCAGGGCCCTAGGAAAGCCGACTTCCATTGCAGGTTTGCCAAGCCAGAAGCCCAAGGAACAGCAGCGCAGTGTTCTCCGCCCAGCCGTATTGCAAGCCCCACAGCCAAAAGCACTGTCGCAATCCAGTAAGAGATGCAGCCCAGGAACCAGCGCTCCCAGGAAACCACTAAGTGTACTCAGAAATACAGAGAGAACAGAGGAGGTCCTTTAAACCACCCCGGCTCCCCGAGGCTCTGGGCAGTGTGACTGGGTCAGACATGCGTCACCCACTCACTGTCTTCATAAAAGCCAACCTGAGCCTGTGAACGTGTAGATTTGTCCCTGCATGTCTACAGACAAAACTTAGCCATGAGCCACACAGGTCTTCAGAAGACTTGCCTGTTGTGGCCATGGGGCCAACATTTTCATCTTCCTGCCCACTTCACACCCACTCCTGAGCTGTGTCTCCCTCACATCCATACCAGGAGCAGTTTTTCCTATTTCCAGTTAATCCTTAACTTTCTTATTTATGAGCTTTTCTTCTTTTTGGTCTTTCCCTATAATTGAGAACTCTTCCATCAGAAACAGCTCAGCCTCTCAACACAGGGAACTCGTTAATATTTCTAAAGGGTTTTTAATTTTAGAGGAAATTATCTTAATTTGATGTTTAACAGTCAAAGCCAGATTTATTTTTATTTATTTATTTATTTATTGGTACCAAGGATTTAACTCAGGGGCACTCAGCCACATCCCTAGTCTTGATTTGTTTTATTTTATTCAGAGACAGGGTCTCACTGAGTTGCTTAGCACCTTACTTTTGCTGAGGCTGGCTTTGAACTCGAAATCCTTCTGTCTCATCCTCCCAAACCGCTGGGATTATAGACATGTGCCACTAAGCCCCGCTTAGGACAGATTTTAATGTTGGAGTCATATGCTCTCCAGAGTTGGGTTTTTATATATATAGATAGATAGATAGATCTTTATTTATTTTTACGTGGTGCTGAGAATTGAACCCAGTGCCTCACACATGCCAGGCAAGTGTACTACCGCTGAGCCACAACCCCAGCCCAGAGTTGGAGTTTTTTTTTTGGGGGGGGGGTGCTGTTTATTTTTGATTGGTACTGGGGATTGAACACACAGGTACTTAATCACTGAGCCATGTCCCCAGCTCTTTTATTTTCTTTTCTATTCTGAGACGCAGAGTCTCGCTAAGTTGCTGAGGCTGGCCTGGAACTTGCAATCCTCCTGCCTCAGCCTCCTGAGCCGATGGGATTACAGGCAGGTGCCACCATGCCCAGCTTTTGTTTTTATGCAAAAAATTAGTTTCATAAAGAATTGTTCTCCAGTATGTGTTTTCTTGTTTTTTGTTTGTTTTGGTTAAGTAGCAGTAATGCTTCTGAACTCACTGAAAACTCACACAGTTCTTTTTTTTTGAATAAAGACAAGACCTCCTCACTTCTGTGAGATTTTCCCTGTTCTTTTATCTCAGGGCAAGTGGCTTTTAGTAGAGATGCCAGGCCCTTTCCTACTAAGGAGACTTGACTGTCCAAAGGAGGTCCCTACATGGGGTGCTGCACCTCTACCAGCTACAGGAGAGGTGGGCTGGAGGGGTCCTGGCTGGATGCCCAACACTCCCCACTCTCCTTTCTTCCCACAGTCCCTAGCAGTGGCACCAATGGAGTCAGCATCCCAGCAGACTGCATGGGGGCAGCAACATCATTATCACCAGAAAACCCTGCACGGAGAAGTCCCTCTGAATCTGCTGATGAGGCACATGCACTTGAGGTCAGTGTGTTCTGGGGAAGGGGGCCACCATGTGCCCAGCCCAGCAGGACCCGGAGAGTCAACTCCTCTTGCTGAGTTCACAGCTCTTCATCCATGGGCCTGTTTCTGCATTTGCTCAGTGGTCTAGAAAAATACCCAGGCTGGGAAGTATATAAAGAAAAGAGGTTCATTTAGCACACAATTTTAGAGGCTGAAAGTCCAAACAGGAGGGCACCAGCTCTGCCTAGGACCCTCTGGCCATGTTTCTTCAAGGCAATAGCATCACGGCAGGAGCGAGAGGGAGATCACAAGGCAAGACAGGAAGCTGGGAGCAGGGAGGGGACAGTCTTATTCTTTGATAACATCTTGCCTAGAGAGAACTCCACAGGGTCCCATGACAACTCAATCAGTTCCTTCCAAGTGCAGTGCCTCCACCCCACCCTGTGCCCCAGCCACCTGTGCTAGGCCCCACCGTTTCAAAGTTCCAGCATATCCCCATTTCCACACGGGGGACCATGCTTTCAGAACGAGAACCATCATTCCGTGCCCACAGACCCTAGAACACTGGCAAACCATGAGACTGCCAGGGGTGTCCTTTCCTCAGCCCGGGAGATTAGTGCCTCAAGCAGCCTGCCGGGCAGGCCCTGTGCCACTGAGCATCTGGCCCCCAGTATGTGTGGTCCTTTGGGGTAGCTTATCCAGAGTCCTGGGAGTCACTGGGTCCAGAGGAGTGGCTTTCATGAATGATTGTCTTGCAGTATTTCATGGGAAGAAGAACCTCCCCCTCTGCACACAAGAGTCAGTTCTCCAGGACTTGAGTGGTTCTGTTGAGTTGGAAAGCATGCCTGGGGCAGCTCGGGAATAGTTCATTTAAGAAAAATTAAAAGGTCCCCCAGGATTCCCGGACTGTGGAGGCCCAGGGCAATGTATTTCACAGCAGCTAAAGTGGGGGATATTAGATGACCAGCTGCTCCCAAGCTTGGCAGGTGCCTTTTGGTCATCTGCAGTAATGCACCACTTGGCATCTCTGAAAAGCCTAGCTGGGCCCACGTGTCTTCTGCACTCTGCAGCCGAGTCAACAGACCTGCTGCCTGTGGTTTTGAACCCTCCACTCAGGTGGGAGCTTGGCTGTCTCTAGTTATGTTCTAGAACTTCCCCTGCCCCCGTGTTCAAACCACAGGTCTCTTAGTTGGAAATGTGGGAATAGGAACTGCTGAGGTGTTGAGGGCAGTGGGTCAGGAGCACAGTTCTTCTGAGTTGGAGGGGCTCCTGGAAGAGACCCAGCCCGTCCCTGACACCGCTCACTTCCTGACAGCGAGTGCGTGACTGTGCTGGTGGCACCAGTTGCCACAGCTCACACGAGCTGGAGAGTTTCAATCCACCCCAACCCAGAAGGTGTCCCCCTGAGTTGCCCTTCTGCATCTACCCCTTCCCCAGCCCTGCAGGCCACTGGGATCGCTCCTCTCCATCTCCTGTGCTGGGCTGCGGATGATTCTATCTGGCTTCCAGTTCCTCCTGACATCCCCCTTCTGCCACCCAGCCAGTGCTCCCTGTGGGTGTGGGTGGAGCCACACAGGCCACACGTGCCACCAGCAGTTCTGCATGTGGCTGACACTACGACAGAAGTGGAGGCTCTTGCTGCTGGCACTGCCACACTTGCTATCGTCTTGACACCCTGGTCTGCAGGGACTGAGGGTTCACCAGGCAGACTTTTATCTTTCTTGTCACCTCAGAAACATGGCAGTATATAAAGAAAAGAGGTTTTCTGACATGCTGCCATGGGGGACCATGAGATGGTAGACTTAAGGCTCAGGTGACACATGGGGCTTTATTTGCTTTGCTTTTTTGGCAGTGCTGGGATGGAATCCAGGGTCTCCCGTGTGCTAGAAAAGGGTTAACCACTGAACCATTCCACCTGGTTCACTCTTGATCAAAATGGGTTTACACTTTCATATCTCTCAACTTGTTTATCTTTCTGATTGCTGAGGGCATCTTGCCTTTCTCAGTAGCAGCTGCATTGTGAGTTTTTCCCCGTTGTGTTTTAAATCCTAAGTTATGTTAGCCCTTTGGCTAACAATGAACCTCTGGGTTGTTGCCAGCTCTCTGCCAGTATTGATGGTGCTGCAGCAAGTACCTTGCTCTGTCTCTCTCTGCCAGAGCCCTCCTCCAAGTGTTCTGAGAACAGGGTCTCAGAAGTAGCTTCTAGCCATGTTGGGTGTGATGTTCGTCTCTGCATCTTATCCACCTAGACAGAAAGGCCACTACTCATCAGTGGGCTTTTCAAAACCAAAACCTAGTCTGACTCTATGCCCAGAAGCTCTGGTACCATTTAGGCTACCCTGGCCTTCAAAGGTCCAGTTCCTGTTAAGTAACCCAGGGGACTATGGGTTCCAAGCATCCTAAGGTGGGTAGAAGCCTCCAGCATTGCCTGTGCAGGCCACCGCATCTCACTATCCACTTAGGAACCACCTCTGCCAAGGCATGGGAAGAGGCTGGCAGCCAGCCCTCTGCCCTACCAAGGCAGGGGGAGCCTCTTGCCAGTTGGGAGCTGCTGGTCTCGGGCCTGTCTCTCACATACCCTTTATCTAAAGCAGAGCCCTGCGCCTGTTTAGGGAACCTGCAAGAACCTGCAACACATGGAATGGGTCCTTGTCTGCCTCTCCCACGGCTCTACCCAGGGAGAGCTGACCCTGCTGTTGGCAAGGCAGGTGCGCTGGGGAGTCCTCGGGCCCCCGCTGGCCCAAGGACCCCAACCGAAAGAGCCACATGGAAAAGACAGAAGAGTGTTCTGGTTCTGTGTATCTGGGCTAATGTGTCTCCTTTTCCCAATTTTTGTGTTTTGTTTTTAATAGGAGAAAGAGCCCCAGAAAAATGAGTCTAGCAATACTTCTGAGGAGGAAAACTGTGAGAAGAAAGATCAAGTTGCACAGCAATCCTTTGTATTTGGGCAGAACTTGAGGGACAGAGTTAAGGTATGTGATCAGGGATTGAATGAGATATTGAACTACTGAGTAGATTTTTTATTTATTTATTTATTTTTAATGACTTCATGTTCAACAAGAAAATCAGTGGACTTTCCTTTAGATTTAACCAGAATATCTGAAAATACAGAAGAGGGTGTTTATCACGGCTCCCAGGCTGAGAGGTGTTCGAGCTCATCCAGCCTGCTCCGTCCCTTTAGGTCTGAGCAAGGCAGCCCCTCTTGGAGGAAGGACATTGGCAGAGGAAAGCTACTTAGTTCAGAGCAGCCAGGAATGGAGACAGAAAGGGTCTGAGACGAGGAATACCCTTTAAGGGCGCGTGCCACGGCCTCCGTCCATCCTTCAGTGGTAGTTCAGTGGTGCAGCACACCTGGGCTCCATCCCCAGTACACATCCTCAGAACACTGCTGCATTAGGGCAACCTTCAGCACACACCTTTGGGGTCACTCGTGTACCAGCTATGACAATTTTTTTTTTTTAAGTATTTATTTTTTAGTTGTAATTGTACACAACACCTTTATTTTACTTATTTATTTTTATGTGGTGCTGAGGATCGAACCCAGGGCCTTGCATGTGCTAGGCAAGCGCCACTGAGCCCCAACCCAAGGCCATCACCTTATTTTTGTTGTAGTTGATACAGACTCGATGTGTTGTTGCCCAGGCTGGCCCTGAGCTCCTGGGCTCAAGTGATCCTCCCATCGCAGCTTGGAAGTAGCTGGAACAGGACACAACACCGTGCATGGCCACCTTATTTTCTCAAAAAAAGGTTGGGAGCTGGACATGGTGGTACAAACATGTGATCTCAGTGACTTGGAAGGAAGGCTAAGGTAGGAGGATCCAAAGTTCAAGGCCAGCCTAGGTAACCTTGGAGCTCCCTGCTGTCCTGATGAGGTGTTTCTGTTTCCAGCTGATGAGTGAAAAATAAGGAAGGCTGGAGATGTAGTTCAGTGGTGCAGCACACCTGGGCTCCATCCCCAGTACCACCAAAAAAGGATAGGTGAGAGCAGGCATCTGTCACTGGCTGCCCTCAGGTGTGTCAGTCATGTCTGGACACTCGAGTTGAGTGGGAAGCTTTGGCAGTGTTGGAGGACAGCGTCTCTGGGCCCCGGGGGCTAGAGCCCTGGGAAGCCCCGAGCTCTGCCTTTCCTTGCAGCTGACCCAGAATGCTCTGCCACGGCTCTTCAGCAGCTCATCTGGCAAGAAGCTTCTGTAGTAGCCTGAGAGGTGGCATCAGTGGCCATCTCTGGAACAAGTGTGGTGTCACAACTGGGGGTGTCCCAGCATGGAATGGGTGGAGGCCAGGGATGTTGCTCAGCACCCTGAAGTGCAGTACTCAGGATGCCCACCCAGAGAATGACCCAGCCGTGTCCATAGCACCCAATGGGAAAGCTTAAAATAAGGAATCAAAAATTTCTGCTGAGAAGGTGCTGGGTAATCTTCCTGCTGTCTGCCTGTTAACTCCCTGTCCGACAGCAGGACCAGTCCTGAAACACAGAAACTAGGTGTTGATGCTGCCACAGCTTTCAGACAAAATAATGAGTCTCTTTTGCCTGTTCCCACTAGGGACAGGTGAGAGACTTGAAATACACCTACACTTAGGCCATTCGGGGCTGCCTGAACTTGGCCACTGGACCTCAGGCCCAGTTCTCTGTCCCTCACATTTGGGGGTGGCTGCTTTGAAGTGGGTGGGATCAGGGTCTCACAGATGTCCAGGGCCTTGGAGTCTTGATGTCAGATCTCTCAGCATCTCCCCTGAGGGCAGCCTTGAAAGAGCCTCAGAGAGTGCTTCTATCCTGTCTGTACCCAGCCCCTTGGGAGGGGTGCAAATCTGTGCTCTGTGGTGTGGTCAGAAGTACTGGCCCCGCACCAGCTTCAGGGCAGGTGTCTGTGGCGAGGTAGAAGAGCTTCCTGAATGTTCTGTGGTCTGTTTCTCTATCTTAACCACTAAAAACAACATGTGAAATAGGTGACAGCCGTGACCCACAGTGCAGAGTCCTACAGACAGACAGCTGTAGAGCCCCAGGCCCTTCTGTCCTGATGGGGTGTTTCTGTTCACAGCTGGTGAATGAGAATACCGATGTAGCTGGCTTGGAGAGTGCCGGACAGCCCAGCTCAGACACGCCAGCTGCCACCAACTACTTTCTCCAGTATATCAGTTCCAGGTAGGTCCCAGCCCAGGGCCGGTGTCAGAGCTGGCAAGAGGTGGTGGGAGAGAGCCTCAGCCACAGTGGGGCCATTCATGATCTTTCTGCCTTGGGCCTGGGGACCTTGGTGCTAGACCAGGAGCCAGCTCTGTCTTTCCCAAGGGGTGTGGAGCAGGAGGAAGCAAAAAACATCATAGTCAAGGTGCCCCAGGCCCTCCTTTACTCCCCCTTCTGGGTGAAGCCATGGGCCAGGGTTGTCCCAGACAACGACAGACCTCCTGCAAGACCAGAGCCCAGTGTGCTCATCAGGGGCATATGGAGGGTACAGCCTAGCCTCAGAGTGACCCTCTCACGTGGACCAAACGACTAGAGCAGAGCTGATAGATCCAGTGGCAGCTTGGTCACCTCCTGTAGCCACGAGGGGCCAACCCCAATGCCCCTTAACATGGGTGTGGCTACATGGGGTGAAGACTGTGGGTTGCCCTGGTTGGTGCCTGAGGTGCTACTCCCCAGAGCTTCAGAAGGAGAGGTCTCCCTGCCTGGGAGACAGGCCTGCAGAGCTAATGAGTATGGCCTTGGGATCCTCCACCAAGCAAGCTAAGGCTGGGTTTCTGCCTGGCAGTGTGCGTGGCTCAGGGACTCTGGGTCCCACTAGCTACTGCCCGTCAGTAGAGGGAGAGGGGTCCAGACTGCTCCCTGCTGATGTTGGGGGGGTGGTCATTCCTTCACCTGCATGTTGGTGTACACGTGTTCACATGTGCACATTTACCTGATCACACACTCGCGGCACGTCTCCTCTCCAGTTTAGAGAACACAGCCAACAGTGCCGACGCCTCCAGCAACAAGTTCGTCTTTGGCCAGAACATGAGCGAGCGTGTTTTGGTGAGCAGCCCCTCGTGGCATTCTTCTTCTTGAACCCCAAAAGCTTTAGCACCAACCCTGATTGATAGGCATGTGGCTGTGGCTGCCATGTCTCCTACAAAATCAGGACTTTAAGTTGTAAATAAAAGAGAAAGAAAGTCAGGCTCAGACTCGGCTTGAAGATGGACTGGCCCTTGACTCTGGTGGCCCAAGGGGCTGACTTAGTCCTAAGTTGGTCTTCCCTTGCAGCCATGGGGCCAGACTGACAGCCAGAGTGCCTTCTCCATCCCTATAAGGGCAGTCGGAATGAGTGACAGCTGTGTGAGGCTGAAGTTCTTGGCCATATGCTGCAGTCCCCCAAGTCCCACCCAGACCACAAGTCTGTAGCCAGTGGGGGCAGCAGGTCTTTTGTTCCCTGTTGAAGTAGAGCCAGCCATGACTGTGGAACAAGGTCAGCCTGGGCATCCGGGCACACATGGCCAGGACACTTGGGTATATGAAAAGGCCATTTTCTGTTCCAGAGAGCCCAGCTGACATGGGAGAGGGTTCTAGAGCACTGTTCCTCCTGCCTCTATTCTTTCTCTTCCCAATTGAATGGCCACAGCCAGTTGTGACTGTGGGGAAGGCTCTGTTCTGGCCCTTAGTCGTTCTTTCCAGCTCTGTCTGGTTTGTAGCAAGTTGTCCCCACATCGGTACTTCCCTTTTCCTGCACAACCATCTCTTTGCAGACTCACTTCACAGGTTGGTGTGCAGACACAGATGAATGGCACAGCCCGTGTTGGCAGTCTGCTGGTGGTGCTAGGAGAGACCGTGTTCCCAGGGCTCTGGGGCAGCTCTCAGGTGTTCACGTGTGACATTCAGGGTGGCCTGTTAGGACTGGCCCCACATGGTGCTGGGGAGCATCACGCAGAGTCGGGCCCAGCTAAGAAGGGTCTGGCACTGCCCTCCCCACTAGGGCTTTCTCCCCTCCTGGGTTTGCCACCAGCACCACGTAGTCATTCTCCTTTTGTTTCCCTGCAGAGTTTCCCCAAGTTAAACGAGGTCAGCTCAGATGCCAGCAGGGAAAACGCAGCTGCCGAGTCTGGATCTGAGTCGTCTTCCCAGGAGGCCACCCCTGAGAAAGGTACATCTTAGTCCTGCAGGTCAGCTTGGGGTGACCAGTGACAAGGGACACTGTATCTCTGCATCCCATGGGGGAGGACTGCAGGGCCTGTCTTCCCCAGCGGTGGAGACCAGTTAGGAACAGTCTGAGAGCTGGGGCTGTGACCACAGTGCTCTGTGCTTCAGCTGGAGGGGCAGCTGTGCACCTTGAGGGGCATGGGGGCCCCGGGCGTGCCGCTGTGCCAGGTGCTCTGAAGCAGGCCAGGAAGGATCTCCTGCATCCTCTCTCAGGAGCCCCACTGTCCTGTCCTCTGAGGAATGAGAACATTTCACATGTAGTGGCTCTAGATGGTTTTCCCGCAAGGTCCCCTCCAGGCAGTGCGACTGGCCTGCTAGGAGTGGCCGGCCTCCCCAGGGCAGACCAGTACTTTTGAACCACTGGGAGGCATCCCCTCGCCCCTTTCCGAATACATAGTCAATCTTGTTTAGCTAATAACATTGCAGAGTCCCTGGTCGAGTCAGCGGCTGCCTACACCAAGGCCACAGCGCGGAAGTGTTTGTTGGAGAAAGTGGAAGTGATCACTGGGGAGGAGGCAGAAAGCAACGTGCTACAGGTGAGGGCTGCAGGGACTGGCGGGCACAGGCGTGGGGCGGTATCTTTCACAGTGGTCACAGGCCCGCTGAGGTTACACTGCCTGCCCAGGCACTTCTCATGCTGACTCTTTGAGGCAGCTCACGGATGAGACTGTCCTAGCACCTCGTCTCCTCACCCATACTGAACAGCTGAATTACTTGTCACACTGGCGCCCCACGTAGTCCTGGCGGGGTGGGGGTTGGGTATGGCCAGAGCCTGAGCACCCTTCCTGAGGTAACCCCTTGGTGCACACCGCCCTCCCTCCACACAGATGTGCATGTGTCCGCCAGCCTGGTGGAGTGCCGCGGGCTTCTGTTGGCACTGCTTTTCCACCCGACATTGTTTCTTTCATCTGCTCATGACGGGGGGGTCACTGACGTGGGGGGGTCCGCATTTTTCTCCTCTGAAGGGCTACATGAGGTTTCTGGCGTGTGTTTTTCTCCTGTTAACACATGTGAGAGCTTTGTGGAGGGATGGCGCACATCTATAGAAGGTGCCCTTTACAGCGCAAGGGTCGTCAGTGCGTGCACAGAGTTGCACAACCGACACTACAAATGAAAACATAAAACTTTTTCATCCCTTAAAAAGAAGCCTCATTTCCCTGAGCAGTCATCCCTTGCCCACCCCAGCCTCTGACAAGCACAAATCCATTTCCTGTATGTGGATTTGCCCTTTTGGACAGTTCCTGTCAGTGGAGTCGTGTGCTCGGTGACCTGTTGTGCTGGCTCCTTGCTGAGCTTGTTTCAGGCTCATCCTTGCCTTAGCGTGTCAGAGCCTGGTTCCTTTGCACAGCTGAGAAATTCTCCAGTGTATGCTGGGACCACACTTGCCTGTCCGTTCACCAGCTGATACTCAGTGAGCTTTCACATGGGGACACCTGGGCGTGGAATTGCTGGGCCAAGTGGACACTTAGTGTTTAGCATGTTGAGGAACGTAGAGGGAGTGCTGTTCCTCCACAGCAGCTACCCCACGTCACTCCCCTCCTGCAGCGGCCGACAGTCTCTGGTTCTGACCATCCTGGTTGGGTGGGAGGGCGTATCTTTGTAGTTTCTTTTGTTTCTAAAATCATTTTTTTTTTAATATCTCTTTACTACTGTTTGACTTGACCTAGTTTAAGGGAAGGATAAAAAAACTGGGCAGGGCTGGGCACAATGGCTGTAAATTCCTGTAAACCCAGAAGCTCAGGAGGCTGAGGCAGGAGGATCACGAGTTCAAAGCCAGCCTCATCACATTATGAGGCGCTAAGAACTCAGTGAGATCCTGTCTCTAATAAAATGCAAAATAGGGCTGGGGATGTGGCTCAGTGGTCGGGTGCCCCTGAGTTCAATCCCCGGTACCAAAAAAAAAAAAAAAAAAACTGGGCAAGGACCTGCCATGGCCCTGTGTCATAGTTTGCTGGCCCTGGTAATCCAAGTAACCCAGACAGAGATACGGTGTGCACGGCAGTGAGCTGATAGGGCCCTGCTCACCAAGGGCCATGTGTATTCCAGACCCAGTGCAAGCTGTTTGTCTTTGACAAGACCTCACAGTCCTGGGTGGAGCGAGGCCGGGGGCTGCTCAGGCTCAACGACATGGCATCGACCGACGATGGGACACTGCAGTCCCGACTTGGTGAGCTGCCGAGGGAGGGGCTGCCAGGCCTCCTGAAGGTGGGCATGGCAGGGTCCCTATGGAGAGAAAGGGCTTGGGGTTGTTCCAAGATCAGACAAGAAGTGCCTTTCCAGAAGAAGTGAAGGGGAAACCTGACCTGGCCTAGGAATGGAAGACCAGTCGAGACGGGACAGTGTGGCCCCAGCACGCCCGGTCAGCCTGCCAGCTGGCCACCCTCAAAACAGGCCTGACCCAGTGACTCCAGCTGCCAGCCCTTCCAAGACTTTTCCCTAGTGTTGAAATATTTAGCAATTTTTAAATTTACTTTCACTGATAAGACAGTGAAAGAAGAAAAGAAGAAATACAGCATTAATTATTTCTTTTTAAAGAGAGAAGTCTCTGCTCGTAACGTATTGATTCCTCCTGTTTTGTGGTCCTTTTTTAAGGAAATAGGGCAATTTTATATCCCGCTTGTTTCACTTACTATTTGTGAGCATTTTCCAATAGCATTAAATTTCCCTTGAAAAATAAAGATTCTCCAGCCAGGCGCAGTGTCCCACGCCTGTAATCCTGGTGGCTCAGGAGGCTGAGGCAGGAAGATGGTGAATTCAAAGCCAGCCTCAACAACAGCGAGGTGCTAAACAACTCAGGGAGACCCTGTCTCTAAATAAAAAAGAGAATAGGGCCGGGATATGGCTCAGTGGTCAAGTGCCTCTGAGTTCAATCCCTGATACCCCCCAAAATAAGTAAAGATTATCAGCTGGACACAGCGGTCATCCCTGTCATGCCAGCTATTCAGGAGGCTGAAGCAGGAGTATTGCAACTTCCGGGTTAGTCTGGGCAACTTAGTGAGGCTCTGTCTCTGTCTCAAAATCAAATTTTAAAAGGGCTGGGGAGGGACTGGGGATGTGGCTCAAGCGGTAGCGCGCTCGCCTAGCGTGAGTGCGGCCCAGGTTCAATCCTCAGCACCACATACAAAACAAAGATGTTGTACCCCCCGAGAATTAAGAAAAAATAAATAAATGTTAAAATTCTCTCTCTCTCTCTCTCTGTCCCCCTCTCTCTCACTCTCTCTCTTTAAAAAAAAAGGGGGGGGCTGGGGATGTAGCTCAGTAATAAAGCACTTGCCTGGCATGCATGAAGCCCTGGGTTCCATCCCCAGTACTGCAAAAAAAATAAATAACAATTGGTTTTGAAAACTTCTATGTGAACATTCTATTGGCAGTTACTATATTTAGTCTCTGTTTATTTAGCTTCTTTTTTTTTTTTTTTTTTTTTATTTAAAAATATTTTTAGTTTAGATGGACACAATATCTTTATTTTTTTTTTTTTTTTTTTTAATATGGTGCTGGGGATTGAACACAGTGCCCCATGCATGCTAGGCCAAGTGCTCTACCACTGAACCACAACCCTAGCCCCCTATTTAATCCCTGACGGACATTTAGGTTGTTTCAGTTTTTTGTAAACTATCATAGATAACAAGATGGGGCCATCTTAATACATGAATTTTATTTCCATAAGTAAACTTGTTATAAAAATGAATATGTGCACATACTGGAGAAAGCTGTGTACGTGTGTGTCTGTGTTTAAAAGCACATGCTCATCTTTTCTAATCAAAGTATTTTTTGGCCCCCTTCTTTTTTTTTCATGTGGCTTTCTGGCCCAAGGTAGCTCACATTCCCCTTAAGCGTTGTTTTACACAGTTCAATTCAGAAACATCCCTGAGTCAGAGCAGAGATGAGAATCATCCTGCTAAGTTGCCAAGGCTTACAAAGTGGCCCGTGCTGGCTTCAAGATTGTGGTCCTCCTGCCTCAGTCTCCTGAGTCACTGGAATTAACAGGTGTGTGCTGCCACACCAAGCTTCAATTGACTTTTACTATTTTCTTATGGAAGCATTCAAATGTGTGAGCAGAGTGTGCATGGTGCATGGTGGGGTTCCCCAGCTGTTGTCAGCATATGCGGCAAGCCCACTACCATGGATCCCTCCCCCGATTACCAAGCACCACCCTCAGCACCGTGTCCTTTCCCCAGCCCCCATGTCTGAGGCAGGTACCTGGCCCAGGGATGTGAGCAGAGGGAGATCTAGCTGAGAGGGGCCCTGGCAGAGGTGACAGCCTAGCCCTCCAGTGGGCAGAGCTGAGCCAGCAGGAAGATGAGACTTAGCCATGTCCATGCTATGGACACAGGCCAGGTGCATGGGCCCTGGCAGTGTGGGCAGCATCCAGAGAGACAAAGCCTGCCCTTCCCTCCACAGCACGCTGCCCTCCGTCCTGGCTTCCTTTTGGTGGATGCTCTAAGCAGTCATCTTACTTCTTCTTTTTCCTAAGAAAACCAGAGGATAGGGGCCAGGACTTGGCCCAAGAGTGGGGATGGTCAAGAGGGCCCCAGCTTCCCTCTCAGCATGTGCAGCCCTCACCTCCTGCAGCCCGTCTCCTGCCCTCTCCGATCCCCCATTTCCCCAAGGGAATGGCTGTCCTGGCACTTGCCTGTGTGGACCAAACAGAACTCTCACAAGGCCGGATGTGGCCTCCAGCCACTGGCCTGCCACACCAGTCTGTGCAGCCACCGATCCACCAGGGTCCTGCAGGAGCCGGGCTGGAGAATTGCTGGCTGGCCAAGTTGGATTCTCTTTCAGGTTGTTGCCTCTGGTGGTGGCGGGGTGGGGGCCAGGCTGAGTGGCCTTGTTGGTTACAGTGATGCGGACCCAGGGCAGCCTGAGGCTGATCCTCAACACCAAGCTGTGGGCCCAGATGCAGATGGACAAGGCCAGCGAGAAGAGCATCCGCATCACCGCCATGGATACTGAGGACCAGGGTGTGAAGGTCTTCCTGATCTC